AATTTTAAAAATACCGAAGATAGTACGTTTATTGGAGAGTATACGACGTGGACCTACATATGCATTGTTTGTCATAAGCCATTACTATAATCAAATTCGAAGCTTGTATTAAACGGTCAATAATGTAGCTAAAATCATCAAAATATCGTATATAGGGAGGTACCGTTATATCGGTGCTGTGCCAAGACCTGGACCAACATAGACAATTTTCTGTCACAGGCTGTAGCATCCATTACGAACTTCAAATACGACATCTCAAACAATTTCGGTGAGTATTGTACCTAAAATCTTCAAAATACCGAATATAGGGAGGTACTGATATATGGGGCCTATACGAAGACGTGGAAATGCACAGACAATTTTCTGTCATAGGCTGTAGTATCCATTAGGAATCTCAAATACCAAATTTGAAACAATTCCGGTGAATAATGTCGCTAAAATCATCAAAATATCGTTATATAGGGGCTATACGAAGACCTGGACCTGCATAGGCGATTTTCTGTCTTAGGCTGTAGTATCCGTTTCGAACTTCAAATACCAAATTTGAAACAATTCCGTTGAATAATGTCGCTAAAATCATCAAAATACCGAATACCGGGAGGTAACGCTATATGGGTGCTATATGAAAACGTAGACCTACATGGGCCATTTGCGAACTTGGCCTGCCTACTGGAAAAATAAACATGTGTGCAAAATTTTAGCCTTCTATCTCAATTCGTTCAAAAGATAGCGTGATTACAACAGACAGACAGACCGACAGACAGACGGACAGACTGACATCGCTAAATCGACTTAGAATTTTACGCTGATCAAGAATATATATACTTTGTTGGGTCTGACATGAGTATTTCGAGGAGTTACAAACGGAATGACAAAGTTAATATACCCTCCATAGTATGGTGGAGGGTATAAAAATCAATTCAGTTCATTTAGGATGTCGGCTTCCTTATTAAGGATATTGGCTTCTGCACAAACGCTCCTTCTAACATATTTATCAAATTTTTATTAATTGACCTCTTTTGTTATAGGTTAAAAATTGGGACTGTCAAGTGATACTTCATGGACCATTGCTTGAAATACAAATACCTTAGAGTATATTGAATATGACTACTACTATATAGTCTCATAATGAAAAAGCTAAAATCTTGGAATCTTAGTACGATATAAAGCAGAAGTTCACATTTTGTACACAAAAGATACAACAATGTTATTGAAAATTCGTTAAAAACTACAATTTTGGAATAATCTTCGATTTTTGATAAGAAAAACACTAAAAGAAAGCCACACTTCAAGTACTTAAACTACTTGAGAACTTAAACCTTGAAATGCTGCGAAAGTGTTTTCGATAAGGGGGGAGTTTTGGCAAATTCGTCCTAAAAGACAATAACAAAGAACTACTAATATTGTATTTGGCATGTTGTACGCGGAAAACGTTCTACAAAACTCGATTTCAAAATTCTTACGTTTTAGAAGTAGGTCAAAATGCGAAAATACTCCTAGAGTTAAGGTTTCTACCCCTTTACACAGGCTATAGGGAAATGTGCACCAAAACGGTGATAAAATGCACTCCACCTCAGAAAGATTGACAAAAAAAAATGTACCATATACGATCTAGAGACAATAGAAGAGGTTGATTCGTACTTTTGGTTCAAAGGGTCTAATATTTTCTCTTAAACTAGATTACCCAAGTCCCTCGTAGAACAAATCTAGAAACATATCAATTAAAAGAAATTTGAATTTTGGTAAATTTTTTACTATTTGAAGACCTAAATCCGACTACTGTAGTTAATCGATATTTTGACGTTCTTTTTTGTCTAAAATAATATATTATTTTATGATCAGCTATATAAAAATTTAAAGCATTGGTCGCTACAAATGTAATTAGTAAGCTCTCTTGGGATGTAATAACGCCAGCTCCACTTCTATTTGCCTGTAAAAACTGAATATACAGGGTGAGATAAAAAAAACTTCAACCAACTTCAGACTGCTCTCATTATTAAGCCACTCCTCCGACAGCTGTTAAAACTATTCCGGTGACAGCTCATTATATTGTTTACAAGCGTACAAAAGAATTTTGGTGAGAATTTTCCGCAAAAAAAGTTATTCGAGATGTAATTCAAGCGTGATAGTGTGATTTCTTTATATTTGGCTGGAAAGCCACCAACCAAGTGGCTATCGTTAGGGCAATCCAGCATTTAAATGTAAATAAATCTTTGTTGTCTCATGCCATCGCTCGATACCGTGATACTGGTAGCGTACCCAGACGTCAATGAAGTGGGCGGAAGAAAACAGCAACATCAGCAGAAATGGTTCGAAAAGTAAAGAAGCGACTTGATCGAAACCCGCGTCGCAGTGGCCGAAAAATGGCTCCTGAGCTGAACATATCGCAATATTCCATTCAGCAAATATTGAAAAATGAGCTCGGGGTAAAGCCATTGAAATTCCAAAAAGTGCACCAACTTACACGCAACAGGAAGAAAATAGACTCAAAAGAACTAAAGAGTTGCTTCGCTTGGTCGAAAGTGGTGAACTGCCGAATTTGGTTTTCTCCTCTTTCAAGCAAGCGCTTCGTCGGGAATGGGCCAAAATACCACCGAGCAACATTCGGGCAGCGTATGACGGTTTCATTGGCCGTTTGAAGGCCATAATTTGTGCCAAAGGTGACCCATTCGAACAAATCTAAACTTATTCTAAAATTTGATGCTTTTTCCTACATTTTTTGCTTTCATTCAATAAAATATAAAGAAAATGTAAAAAAATATTGCGGAAATGGGTAAAAGTGACAGAGGTCATATATTATTTCTGCACTTTGAAAATTTGTTGAGGACATAATGGAAATGCCAAACAAACAAAACTTCGAAGCACTCACATCCGATTGTCTTCAAATTGTAAAAAATATTGTCCTATATAAAAAATATTGTCGGTATGGTTAATTGGCTTGGGATTCTGTAAGTTTGAAGGTTATACCTAATCTACAAAGAAAATTATTATTAAAAACCTAATAATAACTCTACATTAAAAGGTCGCTCACCTACATTGTCTACACAGAAAGCACTTCGATAATATAAACAAGTAAAAACACGCTAAGTTCGGCTGGGCCTAACACCCAACACCAATTCCCAGCGAACTCGGTTGGAGAATTTTTTAAAAACCTCAGACTTCAGATGTTAAAAACAAATGAGGATTTACTAAACCTGGAACCTACACAGACGTTTTCTGCTAATGGGGTTGGAATATTATGAGTTTCAAGTACCAAATTTGTAACAATTGTATTGAAAATGTGGGGAAAATCATGAAAGTTCCCAATATGGGGAAGTGCCGTTATTTGGGAGATATCCCATTACAGGATATAAATATAGAATTAAAAAAATCCGTTAAAAACAGTGTTTAAATTACAAGAATAACAATAGTCAATACCTATGTAGTCAATTGGTTGGTAAACTTGAAATGCTGTCGTTGAAAAATGTGGCTTAAATCTTCAGAATACTGAACACCTTAAGGTACAGTGAATGAGGCTATATAGACAATATTCTGTCACAGGATGTAGAATCTATTACCATCTCTGAATGCGGAATATGAAACAATTCTATGGGAAAATGTGGCTTAAATCGTCAAAATACAGAATATTGAGAGGAACCGTTATATGGGGGCTATACGAAAGCCTGGACCTACCTTCCTAGTGTTTGGTCTTCGACATAATACGCCTCCAATAAGTACAAAATGCACCCACTTCTGCCAACTTCTTCTATTTTCGGCCGCCTTTTGTATGAACTTGGGACATAGTGCGTCGTAAATAGATGAGCTAGATATCCAAATTCTGGTATATGATTTTAACAAAGTTAGGTTGGATTATTTTTATATTTCTATTTTCCCACATGAGAATTATCAAGTCGAGAATACTGCAACAATCTGTATTACTTCGAGCAATAAATGCCGCTAGAGAAATACTAAGGAGCCAAACATACAGTATTGAAATTAGTAAAATGCCACTTTTTGGAAAATCAGACTGTTGTCGTTCCATATGAATTTTGGTCCATATGTGCGATATTTGGCTCACGCTAGCCCTTGCTTATGCCAGATAATTCTCTTCTCATTTCATTCCATTGACAATGAATTACGAGCGAAAACTGCCAAGGAAACCAATAGAAAATGGGTGCAAGTTTAGCGGGAATTCGGAACCAATTTCTCCGAGAGTTGGAATATTAAAGGTAGATGAGTTTATACATCAAGTAGCAATATCCGCAAAAGGCTTTTTATAGTTTCCTTTTAATTAAATGCGCACGCACAGAATGGAACATTTTTAGCCTTATACTTAGCTTGACTACCTCTGAATTCCGGACATTTTCTTTAAATATTTTTGAGAACGAAGGGAATATTAATTGTCTACGATCATGCAATATTGCAGAATAGATTCAACAGTGTTGTTCTCAATTTTTTGTGCATCAATAGTGCTATGAGAATCTGTTTATACCGATTTTTCACTCAATGATGATCATGGCTGGTATACGATAACAATACTCGCAAGAGAGTCAACTGATCGATTTATTGTACCTATGATGCACCTTATAATATGATTTCAAATTTTTCCATGCATCCACGTAAGTAATACTAAAGATATGTGCTTAATTGTGCGTTTAAGCAATGCTAAGCTTCATGCGCATGGGCACGCCAATCGGCAGGTTGTTTTAATTAAGAAAAATCAGAAAAAATAATTTCACAGATTGGGGGAACTATCATTTTGACGAAAATATCAACAGGTTTTAAGGCCTTCATCAACAGAAAATTACAAAAAAAAAAAATAAAAACCACAATCTCAACATCAATCCGATCATCTATTTAAATTGTGCACCGTCTAAAATAATAGTGTGAAATGTGGAAAAAGAAAAACAACTGAGAGCAATTCAAAGCAAAACAGAAACAGAAGAGATACACTAAATTGTGACATGATCACCGATGAGTTAGACAGTACGAAAATGACAATGAGTGTGGTGCGTACATACCTTGCCTGGTGACCGATTCCACGGTTACAGTCTGGGCCTCGGGAACGATTTCTTGCAGTGTCTCTGTAAAAAGTAAATTTTCAGATATACAAAATGAATACGGCACTCTGGACAAGGAGGGATAGCCGAAAGGCTTTTAGACATATTAACAAACAATCAAACAAACAATTGACATTACGTCTACATTTAGAACTGAAGGGAGAAAACTGACAAAAGAAAATAAAATGGTCCAAAGACTTCAGAGTTTTTGTGTGTGTGTGAGTGTTAGGTTCTTGTGTAACCTGGACACTCTTGACCTAACCTAAACGGAAAAAAATGTGAAGTTGATTAGTATTAGAGTGTTAGTAGGACGACACATGAACTGGCAGTTACATAGTTAGTAATGCGTGTTAGTACAGAGAGCGAAAATGTTACACTGTGCGATCTGGAAAGGTTCCCAGCGACAGACAGGCGCAGATGAGTTGTGTACAAATGGATGACTGGTGATGCCGGGTGGAGCCTAATGGTGTGGAACGAGAGTAAATTTAAACTTGCTTACTTACAACGATTTGGATTGAGGTGTGCATGTCTGATTGGGTTTGAGTTTTGTGGGGTGTTTTGCTTTGAAAGTTGTTACGAGTTGGTGTCAAACAATTGCTCCTCTACTTGCTGCCCCGGGCGGCCGATTCGTCCGATTCTACATACTCAACGTCTGTGTGGGCCTCGCGCAACATACCCTTGATGTGTATCTTCTCGGCGTCGACATTGAAGCTGCTCTGGCACTTCTCGTGCACGGTGGTCGTGCAACCGGCATTAAGCATCTCATGCAATTCATTCGGGAGGCATGAGGAGCGAGGCTCCCGTGGGCTGTAGTCCTCGGCATCGGAGGGTAGTTGCACGTCCTCCACATCTGTTTGTTGCTGCTGGGCATTTTGCTGCTCATTAGAGTTTATTTTTGGAGCCGATTGCGATTTCTTACTCTGTCGGAAATTAGCCGACGCGACGCATGCTTCGGAAGATATGACAACGTTTGAACTACTGGTGTCGTAATCCTTGAGGTTTGAGGACATTCTGTCGATTTGGGGCAACTCCATTTCGGAAGCAGATGATATGTCATCGGCTGTGAGGTCTTCAATATCGGTGGCCTTGTCGATCTGCACTGGCGGAAGATTGATGCTGGGGTTAGTCCTCGGCGTGTACTTCAAGCCCTGAGGTAGTTCTGTCTCAGACAGATCCATATCCTCCGTATCGGTTTTGCCCTCTTCTCCCGCCTTCGGAACATCTAAAAATTTAGATTTGTTTTTACTCATGCTGCGCGTTTTAAGCTTCTTGCGGCGAACATGGGTGCCATCCATGTAGAACTCCTCGACGTCTGTTACCGATTCAGTGTTCGATTGTATTTCGAGACGCTTGCTGATGTGCGCTTTCATTTGCTCATTGGCAATTGTGATGTCGGACTCAATCAGACCACCGGGCGATGGCAGACACGGCTCGGCTAGCGAAGCTTCAGTGGCATCTTCTTCGTCGGCACAGGAGTACTCTTCAGAATCCGTGGCGTGTTCTTCTCTAACATGAGTGCCCATTCCAAATTGATACTCCTCGTCCATGGGCATAACGCTGGTTATAGTATCGCCGTATTTGTCTTCCTGCAGAAGCACAACTTCCCGTTGCGGCTGGGGTAGAACCTTGACGTCGACGGTTCGGCCTTTTGCTTCGGATGTGCACAGGTCCGAATAGGAGTTCTCATCACAGGACACTTCTTCGCAGTCCGTGTGGCAATCCCCAACATCGCCAGGCGCCAAAATAACTGCCTGTGGAATAGGCTTCTCATCTTCATCGTAGCTATCGTCATCATCGTCGTCGTCCAACCGCTCAACATCAGTTAATACCTCCTCCCGCCTCTCTTCCACAGCTAGAAATTTGCAATTGGAAGTCGTCGAACATGTCGGCTTCATTGCAGACGTACTCATCGAGGCTAGAGGAGGTATAAACGTTACATCTAGCGGTGGCGAATTGTCTTCGCCCGAATGGATGTCGTCCTCGTCCTTAGAATCGGAATCGGAAAATGCAATTTGACAGACTTCCTCGTCTCCCGAAATTTCCATGACTTCATCTTCCGACAGACCCTGCTCAAGATGACACTTTGCCCCAGCTGCATCCAAAGCCAGGTCGCTTATGTTGCTTGCAATGGATAAGTCATCATGCTCGTTTGATACACAACTGACGTTCGGGCTACCAGTGGCGTCGGCGATGTTCACACGCCCCGCTTCCACCAATGCCTCATTCAAATCAACACAAACAGATTTTACACATTCGTTCTCAATTTCAGAATCCGTGTGGTAGTCTTCACAATCCGTTAAGTAGTCACTGGTTGCTGTCAGGTTCTGGGCTTGCAGAAAGTTTCCAGATCGCCGTTCCACTCTCTCAACTGCCTCGTTGTCTACAGCTTGCAATGCCTCTACATCGTGATTCAGAAATTCCGCCAATGAGAGCTTCAACTCAGGAAAAGTGAGCTCCTTGTCACACCCATCTCCGTCCAAGTCAGAATCGGAGGCATCGTAGTCCTCCACGTCGGTCAAGTCATTTGAAGTGCCTGCAGGAGCAGCTAAGTGATTCTTCGAAGAGCTCCTTGACGGAGCTTTGACATTGTCGGCCTGACTGTCGAAATCCTCGACGTCGGTGGATTCGCCCCACTTTCTGGAGTAGTTCATGTCGTTGTCATGAGAATTTGATGTATCCGAATCGGAATCCGATGATGATGAGGAGTGATGAAGATGAGGAGTAACCGATATAGTTGGCACGTTCGTGGACATTGTTAGGCTGTTCTGTGACTGAGAATTTTAAAGCCTCTGGCTTCTGGAGTGTGGAGTGTGGGTTTCTGAAGACAGTTCGAAAAGAGACGTAATCAAAGTGTTAGCTTGTGATCCATTTTGCTTACTGACTTAGAAATTGGCTAAACGCCTGAGCCGTTCTCATATGTCTGATGACGCTGTGGTCATGTGAAATGGATAACGATCCGCATTGTTGGTCGGGGGAGCGATGCCCCTTCCACACAGCCACAGGCCATCAGAAAAAGCGTTTTGGGTGATGAGTAAAAACCAAAAGATAACTCCTTTTGGGTATTTCCACCAAAGTAGGATTTAAAAAAAAGTACTTAGTGTGTTTGTGTGGGTGCATGTATGAAACTCTCTCTCTCCCTCTTTTGTGTGTTATATTACGCTCTTCCCATTACAATATACACATGTACTTACCGAGCACCTACCTACCTTATGAAGTATAGAAGAAAAATGTTAATAGAATAGTTTACCTTTTGTGGCGTCATCATCAGCCCCCAATGGTGGCAAAGGGCTTCCCGATGCCGATGTTAACATGTCAACGGCTTCGAATTGCCGCTGCAATGTGGGGTCCAAAGCAAAGCCACCAGCTTGTTGTCGGCGCAGGGTTTCCTCGATCAAAGCAAAAGGACTTCTGGTCGGTTTCGGTGACCCTGGACTAGCTATGCACAGACGATCTTGGTCTGAGGTGAATATGGGCAACGCAACCGAGTCTGACAAACTGGAATCGGTGGTGTCAATAAAACTGACGTCGTGCTCATACACGCAGCGTTGCTCAACCGACTGTGGGCGCATCATGCTGATGTAGTCCACGTCCGGCTGGCGGTAAATTACTTCGAAAGGCTTGTCCGGACCGCAGGTTTTAGTAAATACTTCACTGGTTATTACCTTACGGCTGCCCGCGGATGAACTGGAACTCTTCGTGCTCTCATTTGAGCGAATCGAGCGAGCATTGCTCTCTGAATCGTTGTCGTCGTTAAGCACGACCGTGCTCACCAACGTGCTGGCAATGGGCTCGCGATGCAGTCTGACTGTGGACACTCTGGTGGTGGTTGCGTGGGCGATGGACTTCTTCTCGGCCAATCTTGCGTTCAGTAGCTCCTTCTCGCTCTTATTTGTAATTTGGCTATCTCTTTTCACTGTCGAGACCGAAGTACTGGAAGTGGTCTTTCTAGTTTGCATTGTCCTCGAGGTGGACGACGTTGACACACTGCTCGACGTGGTTGAGGTGCTGGATTGATTGGCGGTATTTTTTAATTTCTTTTGAACTTTTAGGTCAACAGTCTTGTTGATTTTCTCCTTTGCATCTACACCACTTGGCGTGGAGCGTTTTACTGATTGTCCACCAGTTGGCTTGGATTTAATTGGTCTGGGAGTTTTACCCGTCTCGTCCGGACGGTTGGGTTTCGGAGCTGCTGTTCGGACCGGAACTTTAGTTGTCGTAGTTCTTGTCTCTTTTACTGGTGTCGTACTCTGAGAAGTTGTCGTCTTTTTCCTATTACTATCTTCAATCGCTTTTGCCTTTGTTTTCGGTTTTAGTGGTGTTTTCTTTTCGGCGCTTGATCTATCGTGCGATATTTGCCTCACATAGGACACGTTTGCTGTCGTCGACCCCATTATGGACCTGGTAAAACGCTCTATCTTCTCGGAGCTCTTGACCGATTTCTCTTTGGTTATTTGGGCGGATATTTGAGTTCTACTTGTTCTAGTTAGTCTTTTTCTATTATCAGTCATCTTGGGTTTGTCTTCTTTGGACTTGGACGCAGTGCTTAGAATGGACTCTTTGCTTGAACTGTACTTGTTGGATTGAAAATTCAGTCTTTCGGATCGTGTTTTTTTTATGGGCGTGGGGACCTTTGTTTGACTTGTCGTCTTGGTAGACTTCGATATTGACTTATCGTCCAAACTGACGTTGCTTTCGGCGCGACCTAGACTGCCATATCTTCGACTATGGGCGATGGTGGGCTGCATGTAATGGTGAGTAGCACCGGATGGGGTGGGTGTCTTCAAACGTCTCCTCTGAGAGTCGTCGTTGGGTGTGGAACTTCTGGAGATAGGAGCTTCTTTCGGTTTCTTAGTTCGAGGTGGAACCACCTGAGCTTTGCGTGTGTGTGCGTATACGCTAGTTATGCCAGAATAGTTAGCTTTCGGGTGATTTGGTGGAGGACTGAAAGATCGCAGCGTTTGGTTTTGAGGAACTCTAGTAACATCAGTTCGAATGCGCGGCCTTGGTGTGGTGCTACGACTTAGCGATTCGCTTGTATCAAGGAAGGTTTGCTTGGGCAAGGGACTCAATGTTCTTTCTAGGCGTATCTGATTGTTCAACGCGGAAATATTAGTTGCATCGGTAATAACCCGTTCATATTTCCTAGTGGTCGGACTATCACTTTCTCTAGATGGCTTTGATTTTGTTTCTGGGAAGACCTTATCCGTTATTTGCTTTCTACTTTGAGTTGGAAGTTTCGTTTTGGGAACATCTTTCACTATAGTTTTCACTTTGCGAGTATTGGAGCTAGTATATTTATTAGAACTAGTGGATTTCGCCGTTTTAGACTCGATGGATATCTTTGGGGTACTTTCAGTTGGTAAAGACTTTTTAATTCTAGGTTTCCTAACTTTTTGTGACACCGAGTCCCTACTTTCTTTTAAGTCAACGAAATACGCAATTGCACGACCATTGCCGACCGGTGGTTCATCAGCACCATGAAGCTTGACGGAGCTCTCTTCGATTATTGCATTCGAAATATCCTCCTTTTCGGAATCATCATCTGATTGCCCTGGCCTACCAGAGGCCGAAAACTTGGGCGATTTTCCCGACAACAACGGAACAACATAACCCTCCACTATCACCGGCATTCCTTCGCTACCGTCTTTAGATTTCTCATGGGAATGGCTTTTTTCAGACACTATGGGTACTTCTGGTTTGATTGCAGTGGTCAACAGATCATTTGCTTTTTTATCTTTAACCTCTGGAACTTTACTATCATCGTCATCTTCCGATTCTTCATCGGAATAAGGTGTAACACCGCCCTTTCCTGAATCTATGGGTACTCTTGGTTTAGTTGTAGTGGTCAATGGATCAGTTGGTTCCATTGGCAAAGAAGGAACAGGTTTGTCCTCCTTTACCTCTGGAACCTTACTGTCATCGTTATCTTCCGATTCTTCATCGGAATAAGGTGCAACACTGCCCTTTCCTGAATCTATGGGTACCCCTGTTTTAGCTATAGTGGTCAATGGATCGGTTGGTTTCATTGGCAATGAAGGAACAGGCTCGTCCTCTTTAAGCTCTGGAACCTTACTGTCACCGTCAGCTGTGGTGGTCAATGGACAGGTTGGTTTCATTGGCAATGAAGGAACAGGTTTGTCCTCTTTAACTTCTGGAACATTACTGTCATCGTCATCTTCCGATTCTTCATCAGAATAAGGTGTAACACCGCCCTTTCCTGAATCTATGGGTACTCCTGGTTTAGTTGTAGTGGTCAATGGATCAGCTGGTTTCATTGGCAAAGTAGGAACAGGTTTGTCCTCTTTAACCTCTTGAACCTTACTGTCATCGTCATCTTCCGATTCTTCATCGGAATGAGGTGTAACACCGCCCTTTCCTGAATCTATAGGTACTCCTGGTTTAGTAGTAGTGGTCAATGGATCAGTTGGTTTCATTGGCAAAGAAGGAACAGGTTTGTCCTCTTTAACCTCTGGAACCTTACTGTAACCGTCAGCTGTGGAGGTCAATGTATCGGTTGGTTTCATTGGCAAAGTAGGAACAGGTTTGTCCTCTTTAACCTCTGGAACTTTACTGTCATCGTCATCTTCCGATTCTTCATCGGAATAAGGTGTAACACCGCCCTTTCCTGAATCTATGGGTACTCCTGGTTTAGTTGTAGTGGTCAATGGATCAGTTGGTTCCATTGGCAAAGAAGGAACAGGTTTGTCCTCATTTACATCTGTAACCTTACTGTCATCTTCCGAATCTTCATCGGAATAAGGTGTAACACCGCCCTTTCCGGAATCTATGGGTACTCCTGGTTTAGTTGTAGTGGTCAATGGATCAGTTGGTTTCATTGGCAAAGAAGGATCAGGTTTGTCCTCTTTAACCTCTGGAACCTTACTGTCATCGTCATCTTCCGATTCTTCATCGGAATAAGGTGTAATACCGCCCTTTCCTGAATCTAAGGGTACCTCTGGTTTAGTTGTAGTGGTCAATGGATCAGTTGGTTTCATTGGCAAAGTAGGAACAGGTTTGTCCTCTTTTACCTCTGGAACCTTACTGTCATCGTCATCTTCCGATTCTTCATCGGAATAAGGTGTAACACCGCCCTTTCCTGAATCTATGGGTACTCCTGGTTTAGTTGTAGTGGTCAATGGATCAGTTGGTTTCATTGGCAAAGAAGGAACAGTTTTGTCCTGTTTAACCACTGGAACCTTTTTGTCATCGTCATCTTCCGATTCTTCATCGGAATAAGGTTTAACACCGCCCTTTCCTGAATCTATGGGTACTCCTGGTTTAGTTGTAGTGGTCAATGGATCAGCTGGTTTCATTGGCAAAGTAGGAACAGGTTTGTCCTCTTTATCCTCTGGAACCTTACTGTCATCGTCATCTTCCGATTCTTCATCGGAATAAGGTGTAACACCGCCCTTTCCTGAATCTAAGGGTACCTCTGGTTTAGTTGTAGTGGTCAATGGATCAGTTGGTTTCATTGGCAAAGTAGGAACAGGTTTGTCCTCTTTTACCTCTGGAACCTTACTGTCATCGTCATCTTCCGATTCTTCATCGGAATAAGGTGTAATACCGCCCTTTCCTGAATCTAAGGGTACCTCTGGTTTAGTTGTAGTGGTCAATGGATCAGTTGGTTTCATTGGCAAAGAAGGAACAGGTTTGTCCTCCTTAACCTCTGGAACCTTACTGTCATCGTCATCTTCCGATTCTTCACCGGAACAAGGTGTAACACCGCCCTTTCCTGAATCTATGGGTACTCCTGGTTTAGTTGTAGTGGTCAATGGATCGGTTGGTTTCATTGGCAAAGTAGGAACAGGTTTGTCCTCTTTTACCTCTGGAACTTTACTGTCATCGTCATCTTCCGATTCTTCATCGGAATAAGGTGTAATACCGCCCTTTCCTGAATCTAAGGGTACCTCTGGTTTAGTTGTAGTGGTCAATGGATCAGTTGGTTTCATTGGCAAAGAAGGAACAGGTTTGTCCTCCTTAACCTCTGGAACCTTACTGTCATCGTCATCTTCCGATTCTTCACCGGAACAAGGTGTAACACCGCCCTTTCCTGAATCTATGGGTACTCCTGGTTTAGTTGTAGTGGTCAATGGATCAGTTGGTTTCATTGGCAAAGAAGGAACAGGTTTGTCCTCTTTAACCTCTGGAACCTTACTGTAACCGTCAGCTGTGGAGGTCAATGGATCGGTTGGTTTCATTGGCAAAGTAGGACCAGGTTTGTCCTCTTTAACCTCTGGAACCTTACTGTCATCGTCATCTTCCGATTCTTCATCGGAATAAGGTGTAACACCGCCCTTTCCTGAATCTATGGGTACTCCTGGTTTAGTTGTAGTGGTCACTGGACCAGTTGGTTTCATTGGCATAGAAGGAACAGGTTTTCCCCCTTTAACCACTGGAACCTTACTGTCACCGTCAGCTGTGGATTTCAATGGATCGGTTGGTTTCATTGGCAAAGTAGGAACAGGTTTGTCCTCTTTAACCTCTGGAACCTTACTGTCATCATCATCTTCCGATTCTTCATCGGAATAAGGTGTAACACCGCCCTTTCCTGAATCTATGGGTACTCCTGGTTTAGTTGTAGTGGTCAATGGATCAGTTGGTTTCATTTGCAAAGAAGGAACAGGTTTGTCCTCTTTAACCTCTGGAACCTGTCTGTCATCGTCATTTTCCGATTCTTCATCGGAATAAGGTGTAACACCGCCCTTTCCTGAATCTATGGGTACTCCTGGTTTAGTTGTAGTGGTCAATGGATCAGTTGGTTTCATTGGCAAAGAAGGAACAGGTTTGTCCTCTTTAACCTCTGGAACCTTACTGTAACCGTCAGCTGTGGAGGTCAATGGATCGGTTGGTTTCATTGGCAAAGTAGGAACAGGTTTGTCCTCTTTAACCTCTGGAACCTTACTGTCATCGTCATATTTCGATTCTTCATCGGAATAAGGTGTAACACCGCCCTTTCCTGAATCTATGGGTAATCCTGGTTTAGTTGTAGTGGTCAATGGATCAGTTGGTTTCATTGGCAAAGAAGGAATAGGTTTGTCCTCTTTAACCTCTGGAACCTTATTGTAACCGTCAGCTGTGGAGGTCAATGGATCGGTTGGTTTCATTGGCAAGGTAGGAACAGGTTTGCCCTCTATAACCTCCGGAACCTTACTGTCATCGTCAGCTTCCGATTCTTCATCGGAATAAGGTGTAACACCGCCCTTTCCTGAATCTATGGGTACTCCTGGTTTAGTTGTAGTGGTCAATGGATCAGTTGGTTTCATTGGCAAAGAAGGAACAGGTTTGTCCTCTTTAACCTCTGGAACCTTACTGTAACCGTCAGCTGTGGAGGTCAATGGATCGGTTGGTTTCATTGGCAAAGTAGGAACAGGTTTGTCCTTTTTAACCTCTGGAACCTTACTGTCATCATCATCTTCCGATTCTTCATCGGAATAAGGTGTAACACCGCCCTTTCCTGAATCTATGGGTACTCCTGGTTTAGTTGTAGTGGTCAATGGATCAGTTGGTTTCATTGGCAAAGAAGGAATAGGTTTGTCCTCTTTAACCTCTGGAACCTTATTGTAACCGTCAGCTGTGGAGGTCAATGGATCGGTTGGTTTCATTGGCAAGGTAGGAACAGGTTTGCCCTCTTTAACCTCCAGAACCTTACTGTCATCGTCAGCTTCCGATTCTTCATCGGAATAAGGTGTAACACCTCCCTTTCCTGAATCTATGGGTACTCCTGGTTTAGTTGTAGCGGTCAATGGATCAGTTGGTTTCATTGGCAAAGAAGGAACAGGTTTGTCCTCCTTAACCTCTGGAACCTTACTTTCATCGTCATCTTCCGATTCTTCATCGGAATAAGGTGTAACACCGCCCTTTCCTGAATCTATGGGTACTCCTGGTTTAGTTGTAGTGGTCAATGGATCAGTTGGTTTCATTGGCAAAGTAGGAACAGGTTTGTCCTCTTTAACCTCTGGAACCTTACTGTCATCGTCATCTTCCGATTCTTCATCGGAATAAGGTGTAACACCTCCCTTTCCTGAATCTATGGGTACTCCTGGTTTAGTTGTAGTGGTCAATGGATCAGTTGGTTTCATTGGCAAAGAAGGAACAGGTTTGTCCTCCTTAACCTCTGGAACCTTACTTTCATCGTCATCTTCCGATTCTTCATCGGAATAAGGTGTAACACCGCCCTTTCCTGAATCTATGGGTACTCCTGGTTTAGTTGTAGTGGTCAATGGATCAGTTGGTTTCATTGGCAAAGAAGGAACAGGTTTGTCCTCTTTAACCTCTGGAACCTGTCTGTCATCGTCATCTTCCGATTCTTCATCGGAATAAGGTGTAATACCGCCCTTTCCTGAATCTAAGGGTACCTCTGCTTTAGTTGTAGTGGTCAATGGATCAGTTGGCTTCATTGGCAAAGTAGGAACAGGTTTGTCCTCTTTATCCTCTGGAACCTTACTGTCATCGTCATCTTCCGACTCTTCATCGGAATAAGGTGTAACACCGCCCTTTCCTGAATCTATGGGTACTCCTGGTTTAGTTGTAGTGGTCAATGGATCAGTTGGTTTCATTGGCAGAGAAGGAACAGGTTTGTCCTGTTTAACCTCTGGAACCTTTTTGTCATCGTCATTTTCCGATTCTTCATCGGAATAAGGTGTAATACCGCCCT